TCTAAACGGGAACCCGTGAAAGCAATTAAGATAAGGCACGGTAACAAAGGGTTGTCGGCTGCTACCCGCTTTTCGCGATGGAAAACAGCGGACTGGGGACGGAAGGTAGCCCGGGTGCGGGAGTAGAGCGAGAGAATGGTAGATGGAACAGAGATACGCGAGGAAGAAAGAATGCGAGGTCGATGCGTCGGATGTTAAAAAGCGATCGAAAAAACGGCGTTTATTGGACAGAGAGAGAGAGAGAGAGAGAGGGGGGGGGCAAGTATATGATTCGTTGCGCTCTACGATCCGCGAAATCACAATTCGTTCACGATATCCACAATGGGGGAAATTTATCTGGTCGCGATCGGAGAATATTCGTTAGGGTTAGCGCATCAAATTACCCGCGGTCTCCTTAGTCGCGTCATTTCGCGGGACACGGGGATTAGTCGAGCAATTAGCCCGCTCTTCAACGGGGTGTCGTATTAATGTAGTTCATTCGCAAACGACCCTCGAAAACGACGAGAGCGTTATACGTCGCCGCTCCTGTGGAGGTTATATACTGGGTGTCCCATACGGAGTAGTGCACATCGCGTGTCAATCGTGCAGAGAGAGAAAGAGAGACCCCCCTGCCTCCCCCTAAGCAACGAGAGCGAACTGCTCGGGCAGACCGTCTGAGTCGTAAAATGTTAACTGCTAGTAAAACTGAGTTTACGCGCTTGTAAGGACCCCCGCAGGAGGCTGCTGCAGGTCCCTCTTCAACGTGGCACGCAGAGCCGCCCCTTACACCCCCTAATAGCCAGATTATTGCTCGTAAGCCACCCCCGTTCGAACCAGTGCGAGCAGGAAAATAATTCCGAAAGAACGTTTAATTCGCGCGCTTTCTTATACCTCTCGAGCCGGGCACACAAGCTCTGACCGACATTCCGCAGATTATGCTCTCGCGGGATTCGCGTTACCGAATCTATTTCGCCGCAGAATTATTCGCGATACCGATGCGGATCGATGGCAAATTCAATTTTTCTCTCAACTCTTTTAATCTGGAAGAAGAACGCGCACGTACTTTCATTCGAATTTTCGCCTTCGGTAGCGATTTCATTCGCAAATTCGCTCAAGGTTTGTCGATATTTTTTTTCAACGGTGAAGAAGGACGGCGAATGTAAATATTTATTTCTACCGACAGCTCGAGAACGAGCGCTCGTATCAGCGGTCGAAATTGCTCGGCCTTTTAACTTTCAATGGCGCAAGTTCTCCCGCATCGCCGTAAACCGACGTTTTATTCCGCCGTCTTCGGCGAGCGACGCCGTCGGAGGTTTTTCATTTTTAATTACCCACAGTGCAGCGCCGTGAAAAGTTCCCGACTGCACGGAAGTTTTAATGGCCGCGTTGACTGTCGTTAACCCCTTCTTAAGTCGTCCGTGGAAGCGCCGTGGGACGTGCTACGATTTCGAAACTTGTTTGATTTCATTCCGGAGCGTTCGACCCGATCGTACATTCCTTCGGCGTAATTTAATTTTCAAACGTCAAACGCGACGCAATAACGAATCGCTAGTCGCTCTCCATTCGAGAGCGATAAAATCCATTTTAATCCCCTAAAACTCATAACAAATGGTTTATTTCGGCTCGGAAAAAACAAGAGAATTGTTTTTATCGAGTGTTTTGCACCCGTATCGTTCGCTGCGAGCAATTTACATTAATTTCGATCCGTGAACGACGCGTACAATGACGAGGTCGTTTAGACGTTTCTTACGACGAACCGTCATAGCAGCGCGCGTCCGCTCTAGGAGGACCTCCCTGGAGTATCGTCGAAACTCTAGATTCCGAACCAGCGTAATTGTTACACTTCGTATAAATGCATTAGCTCCGCGCATTCATTTCACGCCTCCGCGGATCCTCGAGAAGAAGTCTCCTCGTTCGTTCCCCCTTTCTCTCGCGTCCCCAGGGACTTTTTTTTTGGCGAGGCGCCGTCGCGAGAAGTAGCGGTGGAGAAAAGTTTCGCAGCGGCTCGAGCAGCTGCGAATGCGAGCACATTCGTAAAAACAGCGGGGATCACCAGGTAGGCACGATAAGTCGTCCCTGGTAATCTCGTGGAAGAGTTCTTGCGAATAATAATAATACAATAAAGTATGTAATATCCTCTCAGAGAGAAACACGAATTACCAAGCAAACGTTAATATCGGGCTCCTATTCATCTTCTAGAAACTAAATTCTCTCATCGTTCTCGATTTTTTGTTCCCCCCCCCCCCC